AACTGTGCAAGGCACCTAACATGGCTGGCTCCCAGTTTCTTCAACTTTAAGATAAGGAGGCAGGTCTCCTTGGTCTCAGAGAAGCTCCTTTACAACTCTAAATCAATCATCCCCATCAACATTCAGAAGCTTTGAGTATGAGAAACATTCTCTCTCTCACTTCATCCTCCACCTCCATACCTGGACAAGTGTAATAGCAAATGGAGAGTAGCAGATCTTTACAATTACTGGCCAGTGAAAAGTACTGAAAGTTAGTTTTAAAAAATGAGCCCCAGGGGAAATGTAGGGAAGGGGGCTATGGTGATGATCTCTCTCCCTCTCTCTCTCTCTCTCACACACACACACACACGCACATACACACGCACACACACACACATGCTCAGACACACACTCACACTCATCCTCAGAAAATTGTGTTCTACCATTGCTACCTCTCAGTTATGCTCATTGTTACCATTTTGCAGATCAGAGCCACTAGCACTGGATTCTACCCCGACATTCTCCACAGCACACGGAGTTTTTCTTCTCCAGATAGCGAAAGTAAGAACTCTGGTTAGTTTTTGCCACATGAACCACAATTCCCTCTCTTCTCTTCTCTATGTAAGTTCTTTAGAGTGGTGGGAAAAGGGTTGGATTGGAGAGCTTGAAAAGACTTTAGAGATCCTCTAATTAAATCCCTTCTTTTTGCAGATGAGGAAGAGGTGGATAGGAAAGTGAATATGTGATATGAGAGTTGTCCAACATAACACAGGTCACGGAACAGAGACGGGACTCAAATCCAAGTCTATGCTCTTTCCCTTAAACAGATCAATAATGCACACACAAGCAGGCAAACATGCACATGCAAACCTTCACAGAGACACAATTACCCACAAACAACTAAGGAATGCTCTCTGTTCAATTCAACAAACACTTTCACCTAGAGAAAACTAAGATGTTCAGTTGTGTCAGACTCTTTGTGACCCCCATTTGGGGTTTTCTTGGCAGAGATACTGGAGTGCTTTTCCATTTCCTTCTCCAGCTCATTTTACAGGTGAGAAAACTGAAGTGAACAAGATTATGTGACTGGCCTAGAGTCACACAGCTAGTATGTGTCTGAGCTAGATTTGAAGCCACCCGGATAAGTCTTCCTAACTCTAGGCATGGGGCTCTATCCATTGCGCCATCTAGCTGCCCAGAGAAAACTAAACTCCTGTGTTCAAATTCTATCTTGTTCTGGTCTCCCTGACCCCTCCCCACCCACCCCACTTTCTGGTCAGTGTAGTAAGTACATTTACAAGTAGCCAATATGAAGCTGCAATAACACAAAGTAAGATTGCAAAGGGGAACCTAGAAGTCACGTACAAACCCTCCTGAAGGTCAAAGTAGAGTCATTTACACACTGTATCATATGTTAACCAAAAAGTATATCCTGGTAGTATGTGTGGAATCAGGGCAAGACTTCTGGATGTTGGTGTCAGGATTTTTGTTCCTGTGATATGTTAATCTCAGACTAATTCCAGACATTCAAAGTCAGACCAACAAAACATCAATTGGTGCTGATAACTTTGAGACCACAACATGAAAGTTTTATGGACAACTTTGAAATGATCTGGATATGTTAATTTTTTACCCCAAAGTGACACAGATAAAGTATTAAAATGAGGCCTTAAACTTCTTCCTACCCTCATCCTTACAACCTCAGCACTCATCCATCTCCTTGTGGTCCATACTCCTCAAGAGCTCCCAACTCTAATCCCTGGTTACATAAGTGACTGTCTGTACCTCTCCCCCTCCCCATCCTGCTCCCCACAGCTGCCTGCCTTCCTTCACCATCCCAAACCCTGTCCCCACTCATGTGCTTCTCTACCCCTTTTTGCCACTTGTCTGTGTGCTTTCTGTGCCTGTTCCTCCCCACATCCTCTGTGCCTTATTAAAGTGTGATTGCAACCTCACTTCCTGCTGCCGTTGGGATCCTTCTCAGTGAATATTCCCAAACCCAAAAGAACCTGGCAGGGCGCCCTGAAGTTCATAATTTCATAAATTAATTGTCAATTCAACTCCCTAGAGGATCACAGAATCTGAACAATGGAAGGGATGTGAGAAATCATCTCGTTTCATCTTCTCCTGGTAGAGACGAACATTCCAGGGAGAGGGAAAATGGGTTAGCTTCTGGTGCTATTAGTGTCAGAGTTGTGACCTTCCTACATCCCTATTCTGCAGAACAGGAATCTTAAATTCTTAAAATCTTAAATGGGTGAACACCGATCCCTACCCAGCACTGATTCATTTTAACCATTTATATCAATTGTACGGGGAATTCTAGTTTCTCAAAGTAAATGGCTCAAGTAATCAATTGCAAAATGGTCAGAGTCCAAGCACAAAATTGTCAGAAATAATAAAAAAAAAATCATCAATCAGCTCTTGAGGGCGACACACTCCCCAATCCGCCCTAAAAAAAGAGACGCCAAGCTATTCACATCACCCCCAGCTTCCAGGGAACCTGAGCGACGCTTAAGAAATGGAGAAGCGATAGCCGAGCTCCTGTAAGTCCCCAGTGTGCAGTCGATCAGCCTTGCCTTTACCAGACCTGATTGATAACGATCACTCCTGTCTCTTCTCCGTAAGATGTGAGCCACAGGGAATGGTTATGGAGGACCACTTTCTGTTTTCTGGATTAGGCTTTCAGGTGCATGTGTCCCTGTCCTAGTTGGAAATAATTGGCTCGGGGCTGGGAAAGATCTGAGAGTTTCAGGGATCGATCCTTCTGCGCAGTGCTCTGGCAGCGTCCGGTTAGCCGCCTTCTGTCTCGAAGCCCTCGCCGCCCGGGGGTGAGCATACCCGGCTCTGGGCTTTCTGTTTCCTTCCCTGGTCCCGGAGCGGAGGATGGGTAAAGAAGTGTGGAAAAGGTCCAAGTTGGCCGTTGACTGGTCGTCCGCTAGCACCATTGCAGCTCTCAGATAAGCGAGTCCTTTGCTCCGTCCAACTGCGTTTGCAGTGACTATCAGATACTCCGGCGCCCAGCCAGGTCTGAGGCTAGCGCTGGTAGAATTAGAGGTCCTGCACCTCTCCCACTCCAACTCTGCGGCCCTGGTTATCAAGCTCGGAAAGGTCGAGATTCATCGGTATTGCTTTCAGAGCGGATCGTCTGGACACCCCTGCGACTCATTGAGCAGCAGGGAGAGTGCTTGAACCCTCAAGCTTCCCGCCGACTCTCCATCGGTCAAGGAGCCTGTTGGCCTGCCTAGCAGAGACTGCTGTGCCCTGGGTCTTTGGGGGTGGGGAGGAAGAGGAAGGACGAGATGAATATCTCTCTCTGTCTCTCTCTCTCTCTCTGTCTCTGTCTCTCTCTCTGTCTTTCTCTCCTACCCAACTGCGGGAGGGTGACTGAGTTCTCATGACTGCATGAAGGATAAAGTCCAAAGCCTGGTCTGCTGGGAATTCGGGGTTCCTCTAGCCTAGTGTTGGCAATGTCTGAAAAGTCATTTCCAGGGGCAGCTAGGTAGCCCTGGAGTCAGAATGACCTGAATTCAAATGCGGCCTCAGACACCTGACGTTTACTAGCTGTGTGACCCTGTACGAGTCACTTAACCCCGATTGCCTCTTGAAGCCGAATCTTCGCTGCTGAGACTGACTGGATTTTCACGTCCTGGGTCTCAATTGTCACCTCCCTTTAAAATTTCTCCGTCTCTAATACATTCGTTGGGGCAGTTGGGTAACAGTGGACAGAGCACCGGCCTGCAGTCAGGAAGACCTAAATTAAAATCCAGCCTCTGACACTTAGTGCGACGCTTGGCAACTCACTTAACCCAGTTTGCCTCAGTTTCCTTATCTGTAAAATGAGCTGGAGAGGGAAATGGCAAACTACCCCAATATCTTTGCCAAGAAAACCTCCAAATGGGGTCACCAAGAGTCAGACACAACCAAAAGGACTAAACAACAACAAAATCCATTTCTTATTTCTCACCCACTCAGGACGCCCTGACCTGGAATGCATGCCTCGGAACTGGAGAAAATGAAAAATGGGGAAAAGACTGCGGGAAAACAGGCGCTGTTGGTGGATCTCTGAACTACTCCAAAGTATTTGGAAAATAAATTGGGACTACATCGGAAAGGGTATCAAATTGTGCATAAACTTTGACTCGGACATACTACTACTTGGTCTATACACCAACAAGATTTAATTAAATTAATTAAAATGTTTCTAGTAGCTCTTTTTGTGGTGGCCAAGAATTGGAAACTGATGGAGAGTCCATCAGTTAGGCAAGGAGAATGTAGATTGAGGCACAATTTTTTTTTTTGTGAACTTGGCAAATAAAGGAATTTGTTTTGCTTGATTATATTTGGAAGTAATGAGTTTTGTTTTTCTTACTTTCTCCATGGTGGGGGGAGGGTAGGTGTCAGAGAGAGAACGTGAGTTGAATATAAATTAAAATTGGAGAAAATAAGATGAAGGATATGTAATCGATAATCTCTAAGATCCTGTCTTGTTCTAGGGCAATCATTCTATTGAGACAAACTACCAAAATTTCAAGAGTAAATATTGTAAACTCTAACAGGAAAGCATCATGGGAAGTGCAGGTTTACACTTAGCCTAGGAAAGTATGGCAGGAAACTTTTTGTAGGATTTAGGGATTGAGAATATGCATTGTGTCAAGAGAAGCAGGTTAAAAACCACCACAAACATTATTTGTTATGAGGAAAACTTAGAGGGCTTTCTTTTCATTAAGATCAGGATAAGGATGCCTATTATTAGCAATATGAGGTAACTTAATCCTGGCAATGCTGGGTATAGCCTGAAGGCCAGAAAGAGAAATGGAAGTAACCTGCACAGTCCAAGAGGAAAGCCCTGGGGTGTGAATTCAAGGGCGGGGCCTCGGTAATTAAGGATGGGACCAAATAAAAAAGAGGCCTGGGACCTTGAAAGCCAGTGAGTGTGGAGAGCTCCACTCACTACTCTCGTGGAGTCGGAGGGGCAGCGACAGAAATATTCCTTCAACCCGACCATCCCTAGGATCTCAATGGTGCCCGTCAACTTCCAGCCAGGCCAGGGCTACAACAGCCACGACTCTACGCTGGGTCTCAACAATCCGCAGAGTTCCCAGTTCTTGGCCAGCCCCGAGGCGAATATCCCCTTCGAGGCCAGTGAAGCTCGCAACGGGATCTCAATCTCAGGAAAACTGAAAGTGGTCCTCCACAACCATTCCCTGTGGCTCAAGTTTTACAGACAGCAGACAGAAATGATCCTTAACAAGCCGGGCAGGTAAGTGAGTGGCTGTGCAGTGGGACCCCTAGGCCCTCCAGGAGCTCGGGAACCCACGATTGCGCCTCCCTTAAGTTTTACACAAATTCACCAAAAGCTGACATCTCCTAGAAAGTTCTTGCCTTCCTCTTTTCAGGACCATTGTTTCCAGGGGTGTGTTGGCTACCATAAGCCAGCCAATCGAGCAATGGTTTACGGCTGCAGGATGATTTTTGCAGAAGTTCCTTGGGCCATTTCCTTTGGGAAGCTCAAATTCCCTAAACTCTTGACAGTAGATGAAATGATTCAATGCAGGGTGGGGCACGGAGTTCACAAAATCAAGGACAATGCTGGAGAAATCAAAACAAACAAATGAAAGCACCAAAACATTAAACATAAAACATTGGGGGGGAAAAAACCCTATACCTAGGACAGAGATCTGCCTGGCCCTAACTGCCCTACAAGTATGATGGGATGGGGGTTCAGCAATCAAGTCTTGTCTCGCTATTTCTTCTTTTCTTCGCAGGCGGATGTTTCCCTTCCCGGTTTACAAAATCCATGGGATGAACCCCGTTGCTCATTACCAAGTATTTCTGGAAATAGTACCGGTTGATGAATACCACTGGCGATTTCAGGATGGCAGATGGTCTCAGTGTGAAAAAACGGAGAACAACATACCAGGTAGGGAAGGATTTACTGGCCTGAGAGTAGAGTGCAAAAGATTAAGCAAATTCTTTCATCCGCTGTACTCAATTACATGACATGCCCCACCCTACATCTACTACTATCTCTGTCAGGAGATAGATAGTACATTTTCTCACTGGTCCTTCCTCTGGAATCATCAGTGGTCATGGTATAGATAAGAACTTTCAAAGTTGTTTGATTTGTCCCCTGTGGTTGTTATTGAATATAATTTTCTCCTGGTACTGGACATTTCCTTCTTCATGAATTTATAAAAATCTTCAATATTTTTTAAATATAAAATTGATGGTAACATGTTAATTATTCCTCTGCTTCTGCTAGTTTGACTAGGCAACAGGTATATAAGTGTGTAACAGGTACATGCATCACTTTTTGAAATCATCTATTGGCTTATTTCTGACAATACAATGGCATTCCACCACATCGATATATCCCAATGAATTCTGCCATTCCTCAATGGATTCCTTCACTTTTCAGCTTTTTTTGCTCCCACAAAAAGCACTCTGATAAACATTTTATGCATTGTACATTGATGAGTTCTAAGTATATGAATAGGCAGCCAGGGAACCTAGAACCAAGTAGGAAAAAATGCTCTGATTCACTGTGAATTATTGAAATGGAAATCCCAGAAGTTCTGAGATTCCACCCCACAGCCATCAGAGGGGCAAAGAAGAGAAAAAAGGACTATGAGAAAATGTTAGACTCTGAGAAAAGAGTTACATTGATGCACCGTTGGTGAACCTGTGAAAGGGTACAATCATTCTGGAAAGCATTTGGCATTATACACAACAAATTATGTAACAGTGCATGCCCTTTGACCCAACTATATCTCGGCTTGGCTCATCCCCAAAAGAAGTCAACAAAATTCCAAAACTTTTTAGTTGCACAAAAATATTTAGACACCTCATCTTTCTACAGGGAATCAGTTGTATATCCACCCAGACTCCCCCAACACAGGGGCCCACTGGATGAAGAAAGAGATCAAATTTGAAAAACTCAAGATGACTAACAATAAGGAAGCTACCAATAATGAGAACAAGGTAAGATCCCCATTGTACTCACCCCTCGAGCTCTGCCAAGTCCATCAGCAGAAAAGGAGAGGAAAGCAGGCTGAAGCTAGGTTACAGAAGAGCTTTCTGGTGGTAGGAGGGCAGGGAGTTAGAGCTTAGAGCAGGTCATCAAGGAAGCATGGAATTTCCATTGCTCATACTTCCAGGAGTGGGATGAGCATCCTTCCTGTTCTATAGTTGGGTCCTTTTCTTTTCTATGGAGCCTAAGGGAAGGAGATCTCAGATGACACATGGTCCTTTTTCACCTCTACTAGTAGATACCAGGTAGGTGGGGAGAGAAGATATGCCTATCTCACCTCATGCTTTCTGACTTCTATTACAGATGATATTATTGCAGTCCTTCCACAAATACCAACCGAGGCTTGGTATTGAAGAGGTGAGGGATGGAGAACATGAAACAATAACTCCTTCCTCTTTCACCCACAGCTTCACTTTCCCAGAAACAGAATTCATTGCTGTAACTGCATATCAAAATGCTAAGGTGAGAATCACTTTTACTGGAACATCTGGCTTGGGCTAGTGATAGTGGTAGCATGGAGGCAGATGATAGATCAATCAACAATCGTTTGTTGTTGAGAGAAGTGATCAGTCAGCAATCACATACTGGGTTCTGGAGATACAAAGAGAAAAGTAAGAGAGTTCCTGCCCACCCCTCCTTCCAAAAAGTTTACATTACACTAGGAGCAAGCCACAAAATATAAAGGAGTGTTGGCCAGGGGATGTTTCATTCTAAATGATGAGTTCTTAACCTGTTTGTGTCATCAACTTAGGAAGGCTGGTGAAATTTCCTCAGAGAAATTAATTTTCAAATTCCTAATCGTAGGAAAGGCTCAATTTCATTATAAAGGTAGAAAACAAAGGTGAAATTTGGTTTCCATCCAAGTCTAAAGACCCTCAAAAATCCATGTGAAGAACCTCTCAGTCACTGGGACAAAGACAGGCAGAGTCAGGGCCAAGGACAAGAGGACTCAGCTGAGTATTTGAAATGGTCAGAGTACTCTCTTTCCCCCATTTCACAACTGAAGACAGTGGGTGGCCTCCCCCAGATCCCCCAGTGAATTAGAATTGAAATAAAGGTTAGGTCCTTGGCCTTTCCAGTGGGTAGCTTGAGGTTTCCAAAGAGGAGAGTGGTCTTCACTCATTGACTTCTTTTACTTTTTTTTCTAGCTCTCCCAACTCAAAATTGAATACAATCCCTTTGCCAGAGGCTTTAGAGAAAGCTACCATGGTGAAGAAAGTGTGAATAAGTAAGTAGTGGAGGGGCTCAGCTCCTTTTTTGTTTTTCTCTTTCTTTGTCCACCACATTCCAAGTGTTTTTCTTGGTGCCCACTCAGTCTCACCCAGTCCCTCCTGTCTCCTAACTTCTCATAGGACTCTGTTCTGAAACTGTGGGCAGAGAGAGTTGAAAATGTTTGAATAAGAAGCAGGTCTCAAACTTGGAAGCTATCTTTGAGTAATGGGATAGAAATTCTGAAAGAATGTATTTTTCTTTTTTTGACTCAATTTTTCTTTCATCTCCTTTTCCTTCAAGGTGCCTCTCAACAACAAACTCTACTGCTGTGACCACAACCTCCCCTGAAACAGGTTCTATTGGCTCCTTACAGGAGCTAGGAGAGGGTTCTTGTCAAGCCAATGAAAGGGCACCACTGAGTCCTGGGCTTTTGACCCAGGCTTCTCAGCCACTCCAGGGCTATACTTATGACTCCACTCCCAGCAGCAGCAACCTTCTGTCCTTGGGCATGAGTGGCATGGACCATGGTTTTCTGCCCTTCACTTCTCCACCCACCACCCACAACCTCAGAGAGGATGCTGTGGTCCCTCAAGGGGACTGGTGCCTTTCTTCCTCAACTAACTTTACCAAGAACAGTGGAGGATGGCTCCAGGCTGTACCCTCAGTGTCTATGGACACTGTCACTAGAGCTGAGGAAGAAAAACGACTTGAAGGAGAGCCCTGGACCTATGCCCTGACATCACATTCTAATGACTCTGGACTGGGTGAAGAAGTGTCAAAGAAGAGAGCTTTGTCTCCTGATGATTCAAGGGATGAAATATGCCCAGGATGGAAACACAGACAACAGGCCAGGTAGGAATACATGGAAAGAGGCAGAAGGCATAGTGATGTTGTTTTCTTGGTTCTGAGGTTTGGGTGTCCTTTCTTAGGTGCCCAGTCCACTCAGCCAACACCTTTAACTTAACCATCAAGTCTTTCATCCCTTCTCCTTTCCTATCCTTTCTTCTCCTTGTTCCTCTCTACTTTCCATCTTTCCTGTACCATTCTCACTCTCCTGGGTTTTTTTTCTTTCCCAAGTTCCAGACCGTTCTTTGTCTGGGCCTGTCCATCTTTTTTACTCTTAGCCCAGTGCCAAATGAACCTGTAGCTCAATCTTAGAGAAAGCTGAGACACCTCTTCCTAACCCAGCTCCCTTGATGAACCTCTTAAGTTTTAAGAATACAAGTTAATTGGAGCCCTTAAATCCAGGAAGATTTCTCCTGGTCTAGTCAGTGTAGGAGATGTGGTAGGGAAAACAGGGCAATTTGACAAAATGTCCCAGCTGGGTTGGTCTGGAAAGGAAACTAAGGTGATTTGTCCAAAAACACTCAGTATCTCAGAGCAAAGACAAAGTTCATGTCTTTGGTCTTTGCAGAAGGTAGCTCTAAGTTTCCAAAAAGAGTATGGCTCTGTACTCACTGGTTCCCTTTTCCTTTCTGTAGTGAAAGTTTAGATAAAGAAGAAATACAGGGGCTCAGTTCCTTTTGATTGTTTCCCCTTCTTTGTGTACCAGGTTCCTAGCATTCTGGTTCATGCTGCTCTCCTCAACTTTATTTTCTCCCGGGACTTTGTGTGCTGAGGCTATGGGTAGAGGCAGTACACTTGCTAGATAAGAAGCAGATCTGAAAATCTGAAATGGAATCCTGAAAGAATGTATTACTGCTAATTACATTGGTTTTTTTCTCTTCTTTCTTCCAGGCGCCTGACATCTTTAGAATTCTGTGCCACTATGATCTCCACTGAAAATGCTTCTAGTGGTTTTACAGTAGGCCCAGGAGAAGGCACTTGTCAAGTTATGGATGAGACATCCATGACTCCTGGGTTCCTTCCCCAGCTCTCTAAGGAGCCTATGGTTTATGCCTGTGACTCCATTCATAGTAGCAACAATCTCCAGCCCTTGGGCATGAATGGCATGAATCCTGGACTTAGTCCCTCCATTTGTTCACCAACCATGCCCTTTGGCCGAAGACAGGATGTTATGGACCCTGCAGGGGACTATCCCACTTTCTCCTCAGCTGACTCCAACATGAGCAATGGCAACTGGCTACAATCAGTACCCCCAGTGCCCATGGACCCTCTCATGGAAACTCAGAAAGAGGTGGATCCTGATGAGGAACTACTGACCTATGCCTCTACATTACAATCTCTTGACTCAGGATGGTTTGAAGAAAACTCTGAGAGGGGAAGTATATCCTAATGATTCAAAGAAGAATGACTCCTGCCTGAGGCCCTTCTGAATGATTTCTCTCTCTCTCTCTCTCTCTCTCTCTCTCTCTCTCTCTCTCTCTCT